GTAACACCGCTGACTTGCAAGGAGTTACTCTCAATTTACTCCTTTGTTCCAGTTTAGGAAGGAGGTTCAGACCAAAGAGAGTAGGATTTACTCTAAAAACGGAGAGGCTGTACCCGCCGGTTTTACTCTGAGTTGATGCCATACGCTCTTTGTCTCATTTAGAATTCAGAAGGTTGTGAATAACCAGGAACCTGTCTGTCCCCTTCTGCCAAGTTCCACTTAGTAAGCAGTCAGATTCACTTCCCCAAGCCCCATAGGCCTTCCTCACATGCATTTCTGGGCATGAGTAAGGCCCTCTGCCTTCAGCACAAAGTGAGCATGCTATGGAAACCAGCGTGAAGGAATCCAGTTCCTCTGGCTGTGCTGGTCTGGTACACCTTTTCTGCAGCTGAGTCTCAGAATAAAACTTCTTCCCTACTCATAAAACTCAAGAACAGTTAGTTCTGAGTTTAAAAAATAGGTTTGTTTTCAAATGAGTCATAAAAGCCTTTTTCCTCTGTTAGAAAAAAGCCATTTGTACTCCTGTTTACGTAGGAGAACTAGCTAGATTTCTAGAGGAGCAATCCCAGATGTCCATATGTTCGCACTAGCCTGTTACATTCCAGCCTAAAGTATTTATGAGCACGCCTTGCAGCAGGTGCAGATGCAGTTGGGGTAAGTGGCAGCAGAGTGGTTCATGAAAACAGGAGTGAAATATCAATAGCATTTAAGGGTTTACCCTGAAGGCTGTAAATGCCTGTAGGAGAAATACATTCAGTGCTATTAGGTCTGTGTACCTATGGATATAGAAGAGATGTTACCCTTTTGTGTGTCTAAAACCAAGCAGAGGCTTGTGTTTATTCAATGGTTTTCAGCTACGTTCTGGTGATGAAGCTGCACATTCCACAGATAAAATGATGAGTTCATAGAGACATCATCAGAATCTGCTTTGTATTCCTACCTCAAATATGCTTGAATTACTGTTTTTTCCCCACTTTAAAAAACCTTTTAGACAATACTTCATTTGAAACTAGGCTTCCTGAACTTAGAATTTTAAACCATTGTCTTCATTGACATTTTATTTCTGTGAGTGAAATGTATTTCAAATTACAAAAGCTGGAGTGTCAGGAAAAAATAGTTTTAGTTCCTGGGATTCTGATACACTCTTTTGTGTTGTTGCTGGTACTAGTCAGAACATTAAGAACAACAGTGCTCAGCTCCTGTAGAGAACTTTCCATTTTAAAAAGCCATTTGAAGTAATTAAAACCTAATTAATTATTTTTCCACAGTAATTTCTGTGTTGTACCTCATTATTACCTTCATTTTACAATTAGGAAAAAAAAAAAAATTAGGCCCAGGGCGTGCTTTCCCATTGTCTTCAGAAGGAGCTGACCTCTGAAGGCAGCGCAGTTTGAGGGAACGAAGCAGAAGGGAACCTGCACACCTGATGGCGTCTCGGTGGCGCTGAGATCCTGTCCGCGCTGTGGGGCTGCGCTTACTCAGCCATGGTTTCTGTACGGAGCTGAGATGGACTGTGGAAAGCTGCACTCTCATGTTGGTGGGAGACGGGAGGAGACCTCCCCTTTGTCCCCTTCCTCTTTTTCCTTCAGGGCTAATAATTTCACGAGCGATCTATTTATCCTAAGTACTCCCTGTGAGGCTTGATGCTGTAAAGTTGTGCAACACGCAAAAGCTGAAGTCCTGCACTTGAGGAGGTCCGGTATGACTCCACGGTATGTGGAGTACGTGGCAGATGCCCGTCCAGAAGGTGTGTGGGAGCAAGCGTTGAACGTGAGGGGAAGGCCAGCCACAGCTTGGAGCATCTGCAGATTCCTTACCGTCCTTCTTCACTGGTACTGGGACGCGCGGAAATGGAGATACTAAACAGAGCTGCTCACTTGCATGAACTCCTTTTGTCCTTCGCTTTACTAGATCCCTGGTCTGCAGTTATCGTTGCTGAGTGTCAGGTACGTGTGGAAGCTCTGATCAGCTGGATATCCATGCTGGGCCTTGAGATGCCTCGCTGCTCAGTCCGCTGCAATGTGCATCGGCCGTTCCCTTTCATGAGATGGTGTTCCATGACCTAAAAGGCTTTAAAATCTGTACCGTTTTCTTTCAGAATCTATCTCTGTTATAATTTGGATTTCTTCACTACTGTATGCTCTTCAAATTCACAAACTCCTCGTTACGTTTCTACTACTAATGAAGCATTTAACAGAGCTACTTTTAATACTGCCCATATTGCATGACAGTCTAACACTGAAACTTGCTTTCATAGTCTTTCACGTGAATCATTATGTGCTGTAAAGCTATTATGTGGTAGTAAAATTAACTGTCATAATTAATTCATCCCATGAAAGGACGGAATAACTCTGTCAGTTGTGTATTTAGAATAGTCTGAAAAGAGAAAGAAGGTTATTCTGGTTTTGTTGACATTGAGGTACATGTGTTAGAAGTAGCGGAGAGCTTCTCTCCCACTGGCCATTATGTAAAAAAAATAGATTGCAAGGTTAATTGTTTCAAAATCTAATAACTGCTCACTAAAAATTACTAGAATTAGTATTGGTGGGGGTTTGGTTTGTAGTTTGTGTCCCCATGTCTCCAGTCTGCAATGTGCATAAAAAATAATTGTATTTTCTTTAAACCCTATTTAATTTTCTTTAACGATAAAGAGGCCATCATCCTGCTCACCAGTCCTTTATTGTTTGGAAAGGGCTCTGCTTTTTAGCCCCTTTCTACTTCCTCATCTCCATACCCTACTCTGTCAGTGACCTCTGCAGAGGCTAATGACCATCGCCCCTGTTGACAAAGCTGTATTTGTGTCTCTTGCCTTCAGAAGAACTCTTTTGTGCTCAGACTGCAGGAGAAAAGGCCAGACTGCACCGCAGGTTGTGTCCCCTCAAATGGCAGAAACCCAGCTAGATGGGATGGGGTTTTTAAACTTGGGTATTAATTTTCCAGATTGTCCACCTGTGAAGTCTTGACTCTTCAGTCTAGTACGTGGTTGTCTTTAGACAACTGAACATCCATGGGCAGAGGGGCCTAGATACAGAGAGTATTCAGAAGCATAATGGGTTTGTTCCGCCCCTCAATAGCAGTGCATTAATAACAACCATACAGTGAACATAAAGGTGTAAATCAGTTCCTTCTTTACACTGTGGTAGTTCGAATACATGTAGATGTTTTGGTGATACTTCTGTATAGCGCAGATTTGACTGTCAATTTTACATAGTGTCAAGCTGAACACAGACAAAATTATTCTGTAGATAGGAAACATCATGAGAAAAATGTCTATTTAGCATTCTTGAGCATCCACCATAATTTGTAATGTAACTAGATCTAGATTATGTCATTTCTGGAATAGTAAGCTAATTGTTTTACTAATATTATTTAAAACTGAAGTATGAACTTTTTTGCTTGGGTAAGTAAAGACAGCAGAAATGACTTTGTGCTTCTATGTGAGAACAAATAAACCCTTTCTAATCCATTATCAGATAAAAACTTGCACAGTACAATAGGGTTTGGTTTTATCTCAAATGCTTCTTACAGAGAATTCTAGTATGTTTTGAAAGGCAACACTAAACTAGTGAGAAAAAGATTTTTAGTTGAGTCTTTAAAGAGAGGCAGATTTCTTTGTAACAACCAGGTAGAGGAAAGAACAAAATCAGATCTTAAGAACATGGTTGATACACACTTGTAGCCCCATTTTTACAATCCTGTGAATTCAGGTGTTTGAGTGACTTTAGGATGAGAGGAAATGGCTCCAAGTTGCGCCACGGGAGGTTTAGATTGGACATTAGGAAAAATTTCTTCACCGAAAGGGCTGTTGAGCACTGGAACAGGCTGCCCAGGGCACTGGTGGAGTCACCATCCCTGGAGGCGTTTAAAAGACGTGTAGACGTGGCACTTGGGGACATGGTTTAGCGGTGGCCTTGGCAGTGCTGGGTTTGTGGTTGGACTCAGTGTTCTTAAAGGTCCTCTCCAACCAAAATGATTCTGTGACTTTTGTTTTCTTCCACCACCTGTACTAAACAGCGGTGACCTCCGAAGGTCACCTGGGAACACTTAGCAGCACCCCTGAGGAAGTGGGGCTACCATTGCTTTCCCCCCCCATCAAGCACCAGACTCCTCTGTAACTGTTTGATAGCACGAGTGATCCGAAGTTATGGAGAGCACTGAAAGCCATAAGGGCAACTTGAACTTAACTGGGAAAGAGCTAAACTTCCAAAAGATGTTTTCCTCCTTGCCATAAGGCTGTACTTCCTGAGCTGTAGTGCAGGGATGGCTGTGACGTAAAACAGGGCTCACCACACAGACCACAAAGGACAGGAGAGATGGGAGTCCTCTCAGCTGCCACCTCCTGAAAAGTGCACTGAAGCTTGGGTGAGATTTAGAGAAACAGAGAAGGTGTTACAAGAAACTGTGGATCTTGGAACAGGCCCGTCTTCACCTGGTCCTCGGCATCAGTTAGCTTCGGAGAGGCTGCTGGATTTTAAATAGCACCTTACTGAAAAGCTTTTTAGATGGAAACGTGCAACCATTTTCGTGAAAAATACACGACATTTCTATTTTGCTCTTTTCAAAGATTTTAATTTTAGCTAGGGGAACCTTCTGGTAATGCAAATGATGAACACCAGGGACATGGTTTAGTGGTGGGCTTGTTAGTGTTAGGATAATGGTTGGAACTGATGATCTTAAAGGTCTTTTCCAACCAAAATGATGCTATGATTCTATGAACATAGTCTACAGAACGTTTCTGGGGTGAAGTAAAAATTTTTCATTAAACTTTTCCCGTAACATTTCAGGTGAAGCGAACTGACTAACCTTCACATAAGACAATGAAGCCCTTCCCTAAGCCTACAAATTTCCCTTAAAAAAACAACAGAAAATGAATGACTTCATCGAGTTCCACCTTACGCAAATGTAGCACATCTGACCCTCAGCTAATAATGGAATTGCTGTGTCCTGTAGTGCTGGACAGTCACTTTAATCACAGACTTCTTGAATTGCTCTTTCCACAGATCTGCACCCCAGATTTGGTGGTGTTTCTGTCATGTTCCAGTCAAAGGCTGAAAGAAAGGTTACTGAAGCGTGCTGAACAGCAAGGGAGACCTGATGATAACCTGAAAGCCACTCAAAGACGACTAATGAATTTCAAGCAGAATGCCGTCCCATTGGTTAAATATTTCCAGGAAAAAGGGCTAATCATCACGGTAAGTCCTTTAGTATGTACCTCTGAAACCTCAGTTGTTGTTGTGGTTGTACTCGGCTTCTTAGACCCTTTGCTTTCAGACAGGCTAGATGAGTCGAATTATGTTTTAGGTATAAACCACGGTTACGGGAAGCAAACTTTCAGTTTGCTGAGGGAGTTCTTTCTGCAGAATTCACGTGCATGTCGATGACATGGTAAGCACCATGTCTGTTCTTCACTGCAAGCATAAATTGCTTCGACAACTAGTTGCAAACCCTTTGCTCAGAAATTACTTGCGTGAAGGAAGAGCTTGCTTTGAAACACTGGTTGCTATTCCAGTGCCAGGAGTTTCATCCTTTGCAAACGGTCATGTACTCTTTGGATGGTTGTCTTGAAAGGGGAGGAAAGCAGGAAAAAATTACATTCTAACATAAGAAAGTATGTCTTGAGTTGGATTAAATCAATACAGGTTCTTCATGGAATAAATAAATCTGGCTGTTGACTGACTCCAGTAAATAAAAAGTCTTTAGATTATCTTATTGTGGTTTAAATATGCCTTATTATGTGGTCTCCTACAAGCTGTAATGTTTCAGATAAAAATTTCGATGACAAGAAAATTGCAATGTAAATAGACCACTTGGATATCAGTAAGAATACTGATTTCTGCAATATTTGGGGCAAGAGAAACTACCTCTAAGCACAGGACATACCAAGGGCTGCATTCACAAATAAAGCCAGAAGCACTCTATGGAACTAGAGCTAGCAAGTACTGCTGAAGTATGGAAGTGCTCCACAGTGACAAATTCAATGAGCAGTTGACGACGACTGAATTACTGACGTGTTCCAAATTACAGACGGTGTCTGGTTGTAACAGCACACAGAGCTCAGTACCACGTGTGGTACTGTAACAGAACAGATGGCCTATTTTGTTTCTTTTGATAGCCTAAATGACCTTGGTGGTTCACATTGGTGTGTTCTCCTCACGGCAGATATGACTAGTTCTACGTGCTGGTCAGATTCGTGACGGGCCAAAGCACCCTTAATCGCAAAGTCATCTAATGATGTTGGTAGCCTTAATTCTTTATGAATTTCAAAATGAAAATCCAGGAAATTATTGCATTGTTTTCTCCAGAGAGTATCTGTTCTGTTGGAGGATTTTGATTCACTCTGTTTGGAAGGATGAGGGGATTGGAATTCTTGGAAGTTCTTCTTCATTATTGAGGAACAGTGTTTTTTGTGACATTTCTATAGCCTTTACAAGTGCTCCTCCCATAGAAAGCATGCTTAGCTCTTCAGGGAAAATGTGCCTTTGTAGATAAAGCATGTGGGGCACCTGGATAGAACTCCTTTTCTGTGATGAGACCTGGTTTTCCTACTGAGGTTTCGTCTTCTACTTTTTAGCTGTTTGAGAGTGCTACAGATAATTTAAATTGCAATGTTCACCTTAGATACCTCTTTTCCTTTTGAAGAAAGCAGATGTTTGTGATGGGTATGGAAATGGTAACGTGGCATGTGAACGTTATATTACTGTCCACTACAGGACAAGGACACAGCGTACGCAGAAATAGTGACTTGGCCACATGTCAAAAAAGACTTTAATTTTAATAAAGTATGTAAGATTTGAATTTACTCCTTAACTAGATGGTATCTACTCAAAGTGTGTTATTGTAATTTCATAGAGATCTAGAAACTACTCTGGATCTACACAGGTGTGTAAGTGAAGAGAATTAGACTTTGGAAAGGAGACTCTGTTGTTCACCTCTCCTGAGAGCTGCTGCAGAGCAGTTGGGTTCCCCTTGTTGCAAAACCAGGATGCATTAGTGAAGCCGAGCCCTGAGAGCTAGATGCATGAGTAATTTCATGGCCAGTGGATAAAAGGATCCCTTTCTATAGATGATAAAGAATATCTATAGAATATGGCGTATTCTATATATGTATATTCTATATAATATATTTATAGAATATGGCAGACCGCGTTTCCATACGATTTCACTGCCTATGGAAGATACATTTTGCAGTCGCCTAAGGCAACTAAGTTTGTGGGGGATAAATGAGAAAAAGGCGTAGCTGGGAAAGGAGTAATAAAAAGAGATTAAGCATGCATGCTCCAGACCAAGTAAGCAGCTGAAAATTTCTACAAAAGGGCTTTTTTTTAAAACCATGTGACCTCAAAATAGAGGAAGCATATGCTAAGTCACATAAAAAACTACATACTACTAGAGCAAGTTGTAGATTTTAAAACAGTGGTTTTTAAAGAACGCTTATTTTGTCACCATGTCTAAGTACATTTGATGCACTCGTGCATGCTATTCCCTTACAGAAGGAGGAAGCAAGAAAGGAAGAGGCATTCGTCCTGCTGACTGTAATGCTGAACACTGAAATACTGTGTGGGAGAGAGCAGTGGAAGAACTAGAACAGCATAAAATAGAATTGCACTAAGCCAAGGCTACCATTAAGGTGTGGTCATGAGCAGAGAACTTCAAAATAAAAGGGTCTGTGTATGCCAACATCTAGCAGTGCTTGCTGTTCAGTTAAAAATTCCTGGGTGGTTCATACCATTCACCTATGGGAGTCACTGTCAGGTACTTTGTTATTTTGGCTGCGGTACTCCTAGAGACACAGTGTGGTATCATTTCACTTTCTAAGACTGCTTTATAAGGGTTTCACTCTTTTTTTTTTTTTTGTTAGATAGTAATGATAAAGCAAGATAAAGAAGAAAACCCTAATCCCTGTGTAACTAATGTACTTTAGTGCTTTTACTGTGGTTGCTGTCCTGAGAGAGAGCTAGCTTGATGTGAAAAAAATGTGCTGCAAGTTAGAAACAATAAAAAGTTAACCCTTCTCCCTACCCCCACCCCGGCACTCCAGCCTATATGAGCTGTGTTTCAGGAGAAAACTGCTTTGTGTCAGCTGAAGGTCTAGTGCAGCACAGCTTAGTTGTCTGGTGAGAACTTGCTATTAAAGAAGATTACTATTAAAAGAGTTCCTTAAGAATCAGCTGGACAATTCAACTGAACAGTTTCATTGTTTTGTTAATCTCCGGATACATTTCTCTTTTGGACATTATATTGATCTTTCATCATTATCAGACCTGCTGCTGTGAACCACCTAGCCCTTAAGAACTGTAGGATAAGGCTCAAGGAAATCACATTCGCTGACCTTTGGATAAATTACTACGATGTAAAATTATTCTAACGAGGAAACTTTTTCACTTACATCCCATCAGATGTAATTCCTCCTACTGCAGGGAAGTTCAGAGAACGCAGCAATACAGCATGGTAGTCCATAATGAACAAACCCTTGTGGCACTCGTATCATGACGTCCCTAGCTCTAAGCCATAAACAAAATCTCCCACACAAAGCAGTCTCTTTGCCTACAAGAAACATTGGGTTTTTTTTTTTTCCACTCAGCTGACTCGGTT